GGGGGGTTCTCGGAGGCCGATCAAGACACATCTAGATGCAGAGAAAATACGGGGAGGGAAGGGGTCCGAAAGATGGCGTAGGTCCGGAAGCTGGTTCGTCACATATGTGACGCGCAGGGGTTTCCAAAATTATGCGATCTCTTGATTGCATCCCATGGCGGAGGAGGAGGGAGGGGGAAAAGAGGATGAATGAGGAACCAAGCGTATCAGGAGAGAAAGTGTCCGCATCAGCGCAGATAGTTGAGCCAGAGTTCATGTTGACGCCAATGTCAATTGCAATATCTTCGCGAGTCTGCTGGCTCGAGCTGCAGGAATTCCTTTGGTCCTTCGATCGCCGGAGATTGTCCAGGTGACGCCATCATCGTCCGTTGGTTCTTCGTGTGATCTGCACCCCTTCCTCGTCATTGGAAATCCGCCTGCTGGTACTCGACAAGGAGAGGATGATGGAGAGGTCGGGGCCACTCAAATGGGAGCGGAGGGAAGTAATCCGCCGCTTCGTTACCGAGATCAACGAAATGTACGATCCGGTGTGCGTGGGGGAATCGATGATTAGGTCGGGACAGGGATAGTAGGTAATCTGGGTATAAGGAGGGGATGGTGCGGAGGACATTATCCCTTAGGGACTCGTAGTCCTCCATGGCAGGAAAGGTGTCAGAAATGATACAGTACAACTCCATATGGTTGAACTGTGTCCAGTTGACACTGAAGAGGAGGATATTGAGAGGGAAGGAGGGGGAACGATGGGGGAAGACCGTGCATAGGAGTCGTGCGATGAAGTGATGACAGAAGAGGCGGCTGGCGAAAATGCGATAGTCTAGGGGGAATTCAAGGTGGGGGAGGGGACGGAAGGAGAGGTAATCAAGGGGGCGGCGGAAGACGGGACGAGGACGGTATGTCCGGGCTTGGAGGAGGACGGAGACGAAGCGTGGAGGGGGCGGAAACGGAGGGAGATGGTGAGCGAGAGCGGCGACGCCGGCGGGAGGTTGCTGCGCCATCATGCCTACTAGCGGCATCTGAGGGAACGGCGGGATTCAAGGTGGATCCTCCTCGAACGGAAGGCGGCGCTCGTGCTGGTGGGTCCTCTCGAGGCTCAGGTGCCGACGCTTCTTCTTCTTCCTTTGTTGTCGACCGTGCTTCCGACTCCTCTTCCTTCAATAGCCCGACGATGGCTATGCGACCCAGGTCGTCGTCCGACGACAGCTCCCCGTTCTCTCGATGTGCCTTCCAAAACTCGTCGAAGTCGGAGTTATCCGGTGCAAGTTCGTCCAGGTCCAAGTAGCACCAAACCGTAGGATTGTGATCGCTCAGATACTGCCCGTAATCCTCCGTACAATTCGCCCAGATTACGATTGGCGTCAACTTCCTTTCCAGGGTCACAGGTTCAGCCTGCCTCAGATTGTAGGAGATGATGTCCGTCGGCAGGTCGTCGACAAGCTGAGACAAGAACGCGAGGAGCTTGTAGGCGACCGTTGCTCGTCCGCCCTTTGCGATCTCACCGCACAACATCCCTACCAACGTGCCGTCGGTGGTCGACTCGTTCAGCCACAGCTGCGTCACCACCAGCGAGATCTCGTGATTGTGCTCCAACTCCCGATTACTGTAATACCGCGACCAGTGGCACTTTACTGTGAGCATACACACACTAACCGTCGCGAACTCAACCCACTTGCGGATGTAAGCTGGACTGAACGAAACGGTTGAGGCGGGACGGATTTCTAGAGTGAGAAGGGGGTCGGTCGAAGATGGCCAGATAGTCGGAAGGTCGGAGGGGAGAGAGAAGGTTGAGAAACGATTCATCGACGCTCGGGGTAGGGATGGAGATGGGGAAGCGGGCGAGTGGGGCGATCAGTGGCGCTGGTCTGTAGGGAGAAGGTATCAATACAAAGATCGGTCACTACTGCATCGCGGCGCTGCGCGCCGATGGTACACAAATCGCCGTTGCAAGCCACGATTACCGTTACTTCGCTCTAAGTAGGTCGTGAGTAGCAACGAAATCCTGATGCCTCCGCTAAGATGACTGTTGAACCTCGATCGGTTGATATAGTTATCTCAACGACGGCGCACCAAGCCCCATTGCCGAAGAGTTGCGCAAATCGGAGAAAATCGGGTCTGAGACGGGGATGCGTGACTTGGCGGAATTGCAACAAAGTTCGAGGTTGAAGAAGCTGAGGAGGAAGGGCCGGATCAATCATAAAACTCATGGCGAAGGTGAGGGGGAGGTTGATGCAAACAAAGGAAAGAAAGCGAGCGTCCGCGCTGGAGGAAGAAGAAGGAGATAGGTTGAGGTTCTCAGAAGGAGGGAGGGGACGAAGGTAGGAGGTGTGACAGACAATGGGAAGGGAGCTATGGCTGGCGCTGGCTTCGGGCGCGATGCACACCGTGTTGGCTCCGTTGGGACCAAGCTCTACGACGCGAAAACAGCCAGAGAATTTGGGAGCGAGTATACGGTCGTGTGCACATTTGCGTACCTGCACCAGATCCCCTAGCTTCAAGTTATATTGGTGTTGTGGGCCCATATTCCCATTTCGGGCCTTGTAACTACGGACCTGTCTACCGTGGGCCAGTTCGGTCATTTTCCGCCTTTTCCAGACCAGCTTAGGAACGGCCCTTTCCATTAAATCCGCGTATCGCTTGGCTTTGGCCTTAAGGGCCGCACTCATGTCTCGACCCCCTTTGTCGGCAATTTCTGAGGTACCCCGATTATCGACACATGGGAGCCTCAAGGCAGTTCGTTCGAAGCTGGAAGGGGGTGAACCCTCTGGACTCATGAGGGGTAGCTCGATGGATTCTGACGATTTGATAAACAATCTCAGGCCACGGACGCGTGTCATGAGCCGCTAAGTTCTTACGGAGGGCGGTCTTAATCATGCGATTGGCATTCTCGGCCAATCCGTTCGACTAGGAAACATTGGGAGCGGTGTGTCACAGAGTAACGCCACGGCGCATTAGTAATTCCTCTACCTCAGCCTTGAATTCAGATCCATTATCCGTTAGAATCTCCTCTGTATCTAAATGGGTATTAAGGAATCGATCGATGTATGTGGCTATCTCTGATGCCTTACGGGTCTTACACGGATAGACTTCGATATATTTCGAGAAATGGTCGATCAACACTAAGAGGATGGAATATTCGCAGCGGTTGGGGCCAGGTGGCACGTCAATATCAGTCATATCCATACTGACCCGTTGAAAAGGCCGTTCTACCTCTGTCGGGACTATTGTATTTGGTCCACGAATGGGCGCGCGGTCGGCCGCACAAACTAGACAGTTAGCGACCACGTGCTTCACATCATCCCGGATATTAGATTAGAACCATCGATTTTGGTCGATAGTTGCCTCGGTGACACGTATTGCGAAATGAGCGGCCTGTTCTTCGTGCGCCGACCTAGTCCAGTCATATCTCTGGAAAGGATGGGGAACCGTCAACCATAATCCCGACCCGTCTGTTTTACGCTTCTCTAGATGTCTGTTGATCCATCGATAATCTCGAGACCTTTTGGTAGCCCGACGCCTGTCGTGCTTAGTGAGATGGTCCAATGGTTGGCCAACTAATTTAGCTAATAATATTTTATCCGTCTAAACCTCCGCTCGTCGATATTTCTCATCGTACTCAGGGCCGTCCGTTCGGGCAGCCTCGAATCAAACCTCCGTAGGGAGTTTGTCCGTCCTACACAGGGGGCATCTCCATTCCTTACTACTCGTTCTGTATCGAACACACGCGCCATATGCACGATTGACACACGTGGCGCACTCTACCCAATCAGTAAATCCAGAATCGAAAGGGTAACAGTCTACCCTGTAAACTCGGGAAATACACATGCAAAAATAACAAAATTTGTCCGGGAGAGTGGCGAGAAATTTCGAATGAGCAAGGGGAGCAGAAGAGGTGGGAGAGATCGAGACAGGGGGATTTTCCATTGTTCCGAAAAAGAAAGGGAGAGAGAGACAGGGTTGGGTACACGTGTCCACTTAACCCTTCGGCAGGATCTCCACTTGTCCGTATTGAGGCTCGTTCTTTGGCTCCGGGTCGCGCCAGGGGATCACTTCCTCACTCTTGGGTACCTTGTCGGGACGGTGGAGTCGTGTCAGCCCGTCAGCATTGTCGTGTCTCTCGTGTCTTCGATGACGAATGTCAAAGTCCATGCTCTGCAACGTGGTGGCCCATCCCTCGATCATGCCTGAGTAATCCTTGGACTTCTTCAGCGCCAGCAGTGGTTTGTGATCGATCACCAACGTGAACTTCCGGCCATATAAGTACGCTCCGAAGTGACTGATCCCCCACAAGGCAACGTAGCATTCCGCCCTCGGGGCAGAGTAGTTGTGTTTATAGGACGGTACATTCTTGGACGCGTATTCCACCACGTGTTCGAGGCCGTCTGATCCCACCTGGGCCAAGATCGCCGAGAACGCCTCGGGCTGCCAATCGGTGATGAGAACAAAGGGCTCTTCCGAGTCCAGTGTTATGAGGACAAGCGCCGAAATCAAGGCCGCCTTGAGTTCTCCGAAAGCCCGGTCGCATTGCGGAGTCCAGATCAACGACTGATCCTTTTTCAACAGATTCGTGAGTGGTCCCGCGATCGCAGCAAACCCCTTGATGAACCTTCGATAGTACGATGCCAAACCCAAAAAGGCACACACTTGTGTTACGGACGTCGGCACTGGCACGTTTTTCCGGCTGCAATCCTTGGTCCGTAACCACGTGGCCGAGGAAGGAGATCTTAGTGAGAAAAAACTGACACTCCTCAACCGCCACTTTGAATCCCGCATCCTTCAATGCGTGCAAGGTCCATCCAATGTGCTGCACGTGTCCCTCGTAGGAATTGGAAAACACTAGGATATCATCCATATATACAATCGCACAATAATTGATTATGCTCTGCGCTAGCCGCGTTTTTTGCACAAAGTTTTGGAAGGCCATGTTCATCGCGCGTTGAAACGTGGTTGGGGCACTACAAATCCCCATCGGGCATCGGACCCATTGTCAGGTTCCTTCGAAAAGAATGAACGTCGTTTTCGGGCGGTCTTCTTTTCTGACAAGGAGATGGAAGAATCCATGACGAACATCAAATTTACTGAAAAATCGAGCACTACCGATAACATCCAACAACTCGTCAATCTGGGGAAGGGGATACACATCCTTGATCGTGATATCGTTCAATTTTCAGTAATCGATGTATATGCGAATTCCTTGCCTTTTTTGGTACAATCACCACCGGAAACGACCATGGCCCGATAGCGGGCTCGATCCAACTATTAGCTTCGAATTCCTTAATCCTCTTAAATGCGGCCGCTCTTTGCGCCGGCGAATACCGATAAGGAGCGCAACTAATCGACGGATGATCCCCTGTAAGGATCACATGCTCAATCACATTAGACAATCTAATATCGTTGTCATGCACACTCAATACCTCCGCATACCCATACAAGACATCAATCAGGGATCTTTGGATGTCTCGGGGGACATGACTGGGTATTGTAATTACAGCGTTACTCACGATGTTCAGGGGCGTTTCGATCCAATCCATCTTTCGTGATCGCCTATTGCGCACACTGGAGAACATGGAACTACTAGTTCGAACCGAGAGGACGGTGACGATCATTTGGGATTCAGCCGGGCTGATGATCTCAGTCTTCTTAATCTCAGCGTCGGTTTCAGAGTCGACGATGTTTTTTGCTATTTCCACCCCTGTTAACCCGGTCATTTCCTTCATTAGATCCGGAACATCCTCTATCGGAGCCTCTGCTTCTTGCTTGATCAAAGCGATCATGGCTCCTGGCATCTATGTTGCACGCCCGGCCGCGGCCGGGGAGTCCAAGTCGGCCGCGGCCTAGGCTGATGGCCGAATCGGCCGGGTTCGGCCTAGGCCGACATGCCGACTTCGGTGGAAGATTTTTATTTTTTTTTCTAATGCATGAAAAAAAAAAAAAAAAAAGGCGTGTAGGGATAAAAAAAACCAACACTCCTATATTTGTTTTTTTGGAATCCGACTTTGTTTAAGATTTGTTAAAAATCAAAAACTAAAATCGATTTAAACAAAATTAAAAAATATATATAAAGAAAAGCAGGATTTTTTTTTTGTCATTTTTTATCATGAGATATATGGTCCGTGAGTTTACCTGTATTTTTTTAGAAATGAATTTATGTTTTTTTGCAGAAGCATGAGGTGTTTTGAAAAAATGCAGATGCAA